AGGAAGTATATAGGTCAACTTTTAGTTATAGAAATTAATAGGCCATAACTTGTCAAGTTATGATTCATAACCAAATAAGTTATGGACAAACTTGTCAAGTTATGGTTCATAGCCAGACAAAAACCGTAATTTATGGACAATAACTTATCGAATTATGGTTCATAACCAGACAAGTTATGGACAAAAATAGTAATTTGACCTATTTATTAACTTATGTAAACTATTGGCCTATTAATTTTAATTCATCTTAAATCTTGACATATTTCTCTCTTTCTCCTAAGATGACGTGGATCATTTTCGATAGGCCCAAGAAGAAGGTGTTTAAATAAAATAGAGAGAAAATTAGGAAACGTGTCCCTCATAATTGATAATTCACCTTTTTAGTTTACGTCTTATAATGAACCTCTTTAATCATGTGTTTTTCTTATACAATTTTTCTTGGTATTTGGGAGTAAATAACCATTTTTTAGGGATTTTTTAATAAATGGCCAGAGTCTTATATAACTAGAAAATAAACGATTTTTAATCAACATTAATTTATCATTAATTAATTTGATGGTTAATCATTGATTAATTTGATGATTTATCATTGATTAATCAATATCAGTTAATGATTAATCAAATATAAATTAATAATTAATTAATTTCGATCAATAAATTATAAATTTATCAGTAATAAAACATTGGTAAATAGATAATAAACGATTTATCATTAATTAACTACTGTAGAAAAACGATCATTTTCCTAAAAACATTTAACCATTTGTGTAAAAAATAAAAAGATCGACTATTTATTAAAAATGGTAGCCAAAATTTCCCTTCTCTTTTTTTTTCTTTTTGATATACGTTCTCTCTTTTAAGTTAATATATATTAAACAATAGAGTACATGATAAAAAAAAAAAAATCTTATGACGTTTAAGAAAAAGGCAAAATACCTTATGCTGACTAAAGTAATATTCCTCTAGATTTCCTATAATAATAAAGTTGAATTTAAATTTTGTGAGAAAACATACTGTAGCAATATCACTTGAGTCATTATGAATAAGGTCTTAAATTTCTTCAGTTTGTAGTCTACTAATAATTGAGAAAAACAGAGAATATGCCCTCCTTAAATCACCTTTTTAGTTTTGAACACTTGTTTTAGAATTTGTCCGCCTTAAGTTAATAGGGTATAAATCTTAAAAGGTAATTAGAATAACGTATTGTATAATAATACAATAATATAATGTTTAGTGTGACCATCGTATTATATAAACTAATACAGATGATAAATTAATACGGTCTATGTCGTATTATTGAATACGGCTCATTTTGGTGTATTATATTGTATTATTTTATAGTGGATCGATGGTTCATATCAGGGTTGGACACGATTAAGGGTTGAGCTTAGGCCGACATAGGGTCATGTTAGAGCTTATAATTAGTGAAAAATTAATGTGACACAATGCAAATTTATTTTTTTAAAAATTAATTGACTCCAAAGCTTTTGCAAAATTACATTTTGACTCCAAAACTTTTATAAAATTACACTTTGATCCCAAAATTGTTTAAAAATTTCATTTTGACCCCAACTTTTAAAATTTATATTTTGACCCCAAACTTTTTAAAAAATTACATTTTTACCCTAAAGTTATTAAAATTTTACATTTTAACCTCTTATACAATACGTCATGACATTAAATACCGTATTGTATTATGATAACACAACACAATACAATACAATACAAACTACCAAACATGGCCAAAGTGTTTAACAAGACATGAATCTCTATGCTTTCTCACTGAAGGAGCATTCCTCTAGATTTCCCCAATAACACTGGTGGTGTTTAACTCTATTTTGAATTAGTATATCCTTGTACTTTGGCACACAATTGTATTGTCTAGAGACATGGACGAAGCTACGTTGCAACGAGTGGGGGCTTCACATTTTTTTGTTCTTTTATTCAAAAATTTACCTAATTCTTGTTATTTTAACAAATAACCCCACAACGAAGAAAAACCATTTTATCACCTTTTAAATCTTCATATATTTTAATTAGCCCCACAATAATTGAGAAAAATTCATAAACTCAAATTTACATTAAATTAAATGACCCCTCTAAAACTGAAAAATTCAAAAATACTTAAAGAAAAATTTAAACTCCCAGTAAATAAAAATTCTGCCTCCGTCACTGTTCAGAGATCAAAACTGCGTCAAAAAGCTCAAGCCATTGAAGGGACATAGGAACCCCTAGAATCTCTTAGCTGTGTGTAGTCCACTTTTTCATTCTCTAGGAATTAATGCTTATGAGTATAGACTACAAAGAGGTGTCTTAACTGCGGGAGATATTACCTTTACAGGGCTTCTCTTTCTTGCTTTCAAAGTGGAGACATAATAAATGATTAAAAAGATACATGTACCTCTTGGATTAAATGCAGAGTTTAGAATTAAGGAGTTGGAAGCATGGATATTGTTGCTTGATTTAATCTATACAAAAAATGTTTGATTACACTAATGTCGGCAGAAAGATAAATTTCTATGAAGATGAAATGAGTAAGAGTAACTGAAAACCAGAAATCTTGGATACTCCAAATCATTTTAACTTGGCCTTTTGTTTGATCAAGTTCAAGGGCATTTTTTATTTCCTTGGTTGTCTAGTTGCCAAAGCTTCTTGATTGGCAAATTTTGGAGGGTGGTGAAGTTCAAACTCTAAATGGTATTTGCATCTGCTTAGCATAGGTTTCAAAAGCTAGTTTTTGACTATCAGGAGGGTAAAACAGCTTTTAGAGGTGCTTGGATAAATACTTAAAAGAGCTTTTAGCTAGAAGCTCTTCTAAGAGAATCCACACCTACAATATGACTTTTGGAAGAGCTTCTGAAAAAACGATAAGTTATTTTGGAGTTTTAGATAGATATTAATATATTTGAGAAAACTGTTAAACTTACTTTTAACGTGTACTTATCACGTCAATTATTTATATTAAAAAGGTTACTCAAATTTTATAGACATGCCATTTTATTGCTAAAGGTCATTTAGATAGGATTGCTTACACACCCCAATTAATATGCATATACAATATTATTATTGCATAACAAAGAATTGGATTGAATTGTTTGCTCACCCCAATTAAAGAGGACGAGGTGCCTATATTTCCAAGCAGTTGTGCCCTGCAACACTCCAAGCAAGGCTCAATAACTGCAATTATAGAATTTTCAATTGTAGAATTGTCACAAACCATGTATAACAATACAAGAAAATAGAAAATTAAAACATAGCTGGGTTTCTATGACTTTGTAAAGAATCTTATAAATAGGGTACTAAACACGCAAGTCTAGTAGAACAAGGAAAGCAATTAGAAATTTCAAAATTTTGTAGAGGCAACCATATAAGGATGTGAATGAAATGGACGAACACACTCCTGCGGCTATTGCAATATTTTTAAAGAGATGGGGGGGGGCATTTAGAAAGTTATCAGAAAGAAAGTTTCTCTTTGTGTGTCTGACACCGACTCAGAGTTATTATCTTATTTGTATGACAAAGTCTGAGCTGAATCATTCATTCATAATTTCATTGCTTTAAAGGCGAGATGTGACGTATGCTGAAATGCAATTTTATATCTGACACAGAGAGAGAGAGAGAGAGAGAGAGAGAGAGAACAAGGAGAGTGCCAATTAATTACGGCCACCCATGAAATGACAATATTTCCACATGGGACCACCCATTGACTTGGAAAAACGACAACTAATTTGTTTTCTTTTTCTTATAAATAAATAGAAAAAAGACATGACACAGTATTAAAGTTGGAATAATTTTTACAGCAAAAGGAGGTTGGAACAATCACGAACATTTCAAGCTACAATTTCGCAAAGCGAGTCAATTCAAACTCTTACAACAAAATTCTCTCCATCCCCAATGCCAGTGGTTTTCAAGTGAATAGCTAGTAGCCCGTACAAGTTACAGAATTTTTGTTAAATATAAATTTGTTATTTTCTTCCTTTTCTTATTTCTTTCAGGCATGATTATATATATATATATATATATATTTTTTTTTTTTTTTTTTTATTTGTTGATTCCAGTGGTACCCAAGGGCCCGGGGGGCCCCAAATAGTTGTCCGAAACAATTCTTTTTTCCATTTTTAATTTCTTTTAACTAATACGGTACATGCATTTGTTTACAAAAAGATGGAAGGACTTTTATAACTCAAAAAGAAAAAAAAATTTAATTACACATTTATCCATTAGGCAAATAACTTGTAATAGCATTCTAAAACGGACAGATTGATGATATTGTTACCATGACATGTCCTAAACAGAGATTAAAAGAGATCATTTTGTGTAATTTTCTTTTTATAAAAGCAGTGCAAATTTCACCTATACCGTCCAGCCGGATTGATCCATTATAATTTTGTGCTTTCATGTATTATATTTTCAGCTAAAATAATTATATTTGATTTCAATAGTAAGAGCTAGCAGTTCAAACCATCTACTCATTTTTCAAAGTAGAATTTTTACTTAAATTCCTTTTAAACTTATTTGCTAGGTGCAAAACCAAAATTTACGGTAAAAATGAAAACTCACCAAGACAGTTAAGGCACACTGATATAGCAGTACCAAAATCTCTGGAAGAGGGTTAAAATTGCAAATTTGCATTCCATGGACTAAATAAAGTGAGCACTATGGACCTTTGTCCCCAAGCAACTCGTTCAAATATACATTTATCAATATTCAGCCATAAAAAAAATCTATCAATTGTTTTATATTTTAACCAAATAACAACATAAACAACATTTATCTAATAGTAATACACAGTCCAGACTAAATTTTATATTTTTTCAAAAAAAATATGGGTATTTCATCTCCCTTTCAATTTTAAGGTATTGATCATAAAATATATATATCCTCAATTTTAAAATAAATATCCTCGAGTGTTGTAATTATAAGATAATTTAGATCCGAAATATGATTGGCATAAAACGTTATAGCATTTCAAGTATATAACTTCGGAAATAAAAAACTAATAGAAGGTAAAGGGCTATTACACGAATCAAAATGTGCAAATGAGGAACAGAAACAACAAAACCACCAGGCCTAGTAATGTGAATAGGTCGTACAAAGAAGTTCCAGTAATAAACATATTGCAGTTTAAGAAAAGCTCAGATAAACCATAACTAGCAAGGAAAAAACTTGGCTCGATTTCTTATTTACCTAAAGCCTACAAAGTAAATGAAGCAGGCACATAATAACATCCACAAGATCATGTCGACGCATTTCTAGCAAGCGAAAGCTGGAACAGGAAGCATACCAGTACTCTCTTCCAACAACTAACGGCATCCAGAACCTTCAACATTTGTCTTCAATGCTTCCGCATCATTCTTGGATTTCATCGGTATCTTGTAAACAGCAATCAAGATGTAATTAGTAAGTTGAATTTACGAAAAACAGGCTGCAATGACACTGAAAGAGGTGACGCGAATCTGACACAGGAACACATCAAGTAGGAAAAATGGCAAGCTCATTCAAATGATCAAACGATTCGGTGCAAACAAGCCCTTCTTTCACCCTTTCAGCCTATTGGACCTATCAAGGAAAGCAGGAAAGTAAGGAAGAAAGACATAAAAGCAAGGGAATTAGCAAATGGCTACCGCTACTAAGGCTACTCTGTCTTAGGGATGGGAGTTAAAAGTTCGGCAACCTCCATCAAGACAAGCTGTTAACTCTTATCGCAAACGTAGCAAGACAACCACCCAGCCAAAGTCCAGAGTTCCAGCCATTAATTACTAAGCTCCAAAACATGAGTTCCATCCATCACATTAAAGTACTATTTTTAGCAAAACAAAGAATAAAATATACCTCACGATTGTGAATATGAACCCATCTTACTTTTTCCACGTAACCAATCTTTCTCATTTGCAATTAACATCTTGTGGGGCTTTTTTGAACAAATATATTTCTATGAAAAAATAAAACATCCCGCAAAAGAAGTCTTTGCTAATGATCTTACGACTAGCTTATGGGTCCTCAAGGAGGAAATTTTCATGCTATATGCTCGATGAAAAGGAAAATCAATTCTGGCTTCAAAGGATACGCCTCTTTTCATGAATAAATGGAAATACTACCTTGTGTGGCGTTAATTCATTTCTAGTTGATTTAGGAAATGACCAAAACAAATGTTATCTTAAACTAACATATATCTTGCCTATCCTAAGCTATTTCTGAGACGCATAACCACTTGTAGGCCATTCCTTATGTGGAAAAGACCAAACATTTTAATTACGCGTAATACAACGAAGGAAAAATTTGATGCCCCCATTGTCCATCTTCTCAAATAAGCTGACATTTTAAAATTTACAGAAAACAAAGACGCGAATTATGGACTTATATTTTTAGATTACATTATTATATTGTCATCATAAATAAAAGATATACGTATCAAGAAAAGGAACACAACAGTGCTTAAACAATTGCCGTATACGAAGTAAAGTTTCTATACCTTGGGAAAGTGGGTTGAGCAGCAAGTATATAAAGCAACTATTATTAGTTGCTGCTAAACGAGTTAACAAATGTACATCATAATTATCTATTCAAATAATCTCACATGAACAGAATTCATATTACACTACACATAATACAATTGCATGTTAAGATCTAAACAAGTAAAACTTCAAATAAAATATCCTCAATTCAACCTCAGATGTCTTGTCCAAAGTCGCTTTAACAAAGATGAGAGAATGACCCTCCAACTACCAAAGGATTTTCTCAAAAACAATAAATAAATAAATAAAAGAAAAGGGCAAAGAAAAACCAAAAAAAAAAATAGGGAGAGCAAACACACACGAAAAAAAGAAAATGATACCTTGCACTGAAGCTTTGTTATCGTAGTCCTCAACAAAGTATCTCCAACTATTAATCTCAACTTTTTAACAAACTCATCACGAGTGATCTTCTTTGCCTGCTAAGAAATCATACAATGAAACAAAAGAATGGGAAAATAGTTGAAACGGTATGTATATTTTTGTAGCTCTGTCTTTTGCAAAGTCGGCAAAAATACATTGTGTATTTGGTATAAAAGCATTACTTGCAAATTCATTTCTGTCTTGTGAAAAAAGTTCTTTTAAAAAAAAAGTCATTACAAAAAAATGAACTCGAATTTCAGCAAATATATAGAGAAAGCATTTGGTCCATTGTCAGGTTAAAGGTAATTAATTTTAACCAAAGGCCGTGATAACGACTGGATTCGCAAGAAAGCTAGACTTGCAAGAAGTTCAAAATGCAACGGAAACTTCTGCAAATACCAAACATACGAGGGTATTTTTGCCAACTTCTCAAAACACAAGGGATATAAACATAAATACCACAGTTGGTTATTAGGCATACCCTAAATAGTTCATAATGTTTGTTAACCAGTTCCATATCTTTCGGTGGAACTTCACTTGAGATAGCAGCGAACAACATGGGGAAAGGCATCCAAGGAGATCTGGGAATTCTTGAAGTGCTCGAACCCAAACTAGCAGCATTTTCAACAGACCTCCCAGAATCTGAAATCAGTCGACAGTCACTTCCCTGAGGCCTCACAGAACCTGAAATTGGCTTCTCATCGACCCCCTAACAAATAACAAAGCAATTTAACAACACTGTTGATATGATGAAATCGCACCATGCAGAAGGTACACTAACTACTAACTACTGATCTGTTAAAAGCACTTGTTATACCAACAAGAATAAATAATACTATATTTCAGATCAAAAGAATTTAACACATTTATAATTTTACCACAAAATCACCACGAAAGTAACTAAGATTCAATGTACAAAAATAAATTGCATCTAGAAGTTCCAAGAACCAAGGTACTTCATGCACCAAGCTAGCCACTGATAAGGGAGACCAACTTCTAAACTAGCAATAACTTCCATTTTTTGGCTGGTTCAAAATAGCAATTCACCGAGGAACAAAACACAGTATAATGTCAGGTATATATCTGCTATAACAAAGATTGGCTAAACCTTTCGGCCCAAAATAGTCGGGCCTTCAATAGATCGATGGACTGAAAAAATGGATCAAAATGAATAAACCAATGAGAAAACAGACTACCAACATTACTGCTTTGTCCCGTAAATGAAACCGAACTAAACTATTAAACTAGCATTTGAGTCGGAATACAAATTAAGAAAGAAAGACCATCTGAACTCAAGTTATTAACACCGTCAATTCAAATGATGCAGCAGTAGGAAATAATAATTAAGATGGCCTGCAATCAGGATGTACATGCAGGCTTATTTCTGCCTAAATGGAGGAACACGCAGGTAATCCATTTGATAATCTCCTAAATGAAAATATCAAGATTAGAAGGGCCTCACCACTGATTACTTCCTACCAGTAAATTCATTATTGAAACAGAAATCATATTTCTTCTATCAATGTGAAAACAGAATAATTAGACAGATATAATTTAAATAATTACCACATTCATCGTAGAGGGCTCTGTTTGTAGCCGGTTCAATGGCCGTGACGATGATGATGTAACCCCCGAAACATCATGCTTCAGCTCACTTCCAACTGGAGATCCTGAAGAATAACATTATGTATTAGCACCTAAGGATTCTTTTTTTTTTTTAATAAGAAAAGAGCACCTAAGGATTCATAAAGTTAATACAAATACACAAACAAATATATGATAATTTATACATCTGCAGTAGCAACAGCAGACTATCTAATTGAATCAGTTAGAGGGAACCAGTGATTAAAATTGCGCAAAGCGCGCCTCACCATGAGGCACTGGAAAAACGCATTGAGGCGCACGCCTCTTGCCTCTCTGTAAGTGAATTCGCGTTTCAAGGCCACCTCAAGGCAGTGGCCTTCACTTTTTTCACTATTTGGAGCTAAAATTAATATAAGGGCCCAAGCCAAAACTCATATCAGCCAAAAGCAGCCCAATGAAAAACAAAAATGTAAAGAATTCTAGAAGAATGATGTTGCTACGACCAAGAGGCAAGGGTGCAGATTTAAAACAACCCCTAGATTGCTAAAAATAAGAGGGAGAAAAGAAAAATCAAGAATAATTATTTTGATTTAATAATTTTTGCTTGTTAATATAATTTTTTTATGATGTTAAGTATGATTTATAACTTTTACTTTAAATTGCTTGATTTTGCATATTTTGAATTATTTTATAGTTTATTTTGAGGCTTACGCCTTGCCTCACAGAGACAAAACGCCTCAGTACCCAATTGCGCAATTTGAAACCTTGGAGAGAACGACTCATATGTTTGTAGCACAAAGCCAAACTATGAGGATATGCATGATCAACGGATAAAACCCAGTTTGCCAGGACTAAAAGCTAGTAAATTTTTAGTCCAAAAAATAATCAGAAAATACCAGCTAGCTCATCGCTAAATGTCCAAAAAGTTCTAACCAAATGCTCATGAAAAAGAAAGAAAAAGAAAAAAAAAAAAAGAAACGACAGGGTGCTCTTAAAGGAGGAACCAATTACCTTCAGTACCAGATGGAACCTTGAAACTAACAATGAATTCCGGATGGATGTGGGTGTTCATATTCATATTCCAGATAATATACTGCTTTGGGTTCTCAAGATTGTCTGTTCCACTGTCAAAATCATTGGAACTGGGATAACATTGTTTACTTCCCAATGGAATAACTTCCATGCGTCCCATTATTACACTACAGAGTACCATGTACCGTACATCGTTTTCGTCACCATCACTCAACCTTGCACTGTGAACAAAATAGAAAGCTTCAGTTTCCTTCTCTTAAAACAAGTTGCAAGCAACAAGATGAAGATATAGAAGATACATATACGTGTATAGGAAAAACATAAAACCCACAATACCTCATGATGAACGGAACAAGAAGCAAGTAAAATCATGCAATAATCAAATAATACCCAATACCCCAACACACTTAACTTGCAACTAATTGAAATTCTAATGAAATCCCAAGTAGATAAATAGTGCGCAAAACATATTACATATCAATACCACGTACAGATATTCCAAATGCCTAGAATGACTACAGTGCCAAAAGGTAATACTCACTGGTCATTAACATATTGCCAGCCAAGGAAACATGCAGCTAAAGGTCAAAGAAAAATCTAATCACTTAAACCATTTTATCAAAGGTTGAGGTAACTCTTGCCCCAGCAAAAAGAAATAATTCCCATACATGGTACTATAATTTATTGTGGGTGGATGCAAAAAAACAAAAGAAAAAAGGCTGTAAAAGAAAAATCTCCGAACCTAATAGATGGAAAGTCAGCAGCAGCCATGTGGACCCCAATGCCATATGTTGACTTAATGGTGGACCGTCCACAATAACCCAGCCCATGCACCATTAATGTAGATAGTGCTTCTTTTGAAGAAGCCAGCCACGCATATTGAACATTTGCATCGCCACGACACTCCTTAGTAATTTCAGCCTGATTCTCAAAAAGTGCACGTCTCGACTGCAATGAAGTACCTAAGCAAGGGTATATATCAATGATGTCTGTACCATAAAAGGCACCCATTCCCTCAAGAAACATCTTCCGTGCAGAATCACAATTCAATTTCCCACTTAAAGAGCCATTAATGGATAATGATTTGGCTTCCATCTCTTCGTTACCCTTGACAGTTTCAACTCTAACAGTAGGTTCTCTATTGCAACTATCCTCAGCATCCACAATGTATGGATTAGTGCAAGGTTCTTGCTCAATATGAATTTTCTTAATCAGAGCGTTTGACTCCCCACTACATTCCTTAAACATAGATTTACCAACTCCGTTTATCTCTATTTCCAGCTGCAATTTGATGTCACGAGACCCACAGGACTCTGCAAAAACAGGATCTTGACTTTTGACATTTTCATAGGCACGGTCTGAATATGGTTCATCGTCATCATCGGGATCGCCGTTGGAAAAGGTTTCAGGAAAGAAGCACCTTCCTGCTTCATCAATCCATGCAATAGGTTGTTGAAAACCTGTTTCCAAGTCCATTTTGAACATATGCAAAAAGTCCAGCACATAATGCCGACCATTCAACGCGATCTCACTAGTTGCCTTCTTAATCACGAGATCTTTCCTAACCATTCCAATAAGATCCCCAGGAAAATCAGTCCATTCGCCATTCTGATAAAACATTAGGCGTTGGGGCATGCCACTTTTCATAAAATTCACATAGCATTTCAGAAAGGATCTTCTAAAGTGAGACCCACTACTTGAGTGCTTGCTTCTTAATCCCTTTAATTTCCTTTGCTTCCCAAGCGTATTGAAGGCTGGAAACAGAGGAAAGTCCGTGTGGGTAGCTCCAGTAAAATGTGCAGCGCACCGGGTTGCCCGCTTTCTCTTTAAGGTCTGTAATTCTCTTTGGCGACTATCCAATACCTTTTCGATATTTCCTTCCATTACAATCTACTAAGACTAATATCCACAAGTTAAAATCCAAAACTCTAAGTACAAAACTACGATAGAACTCTACGCCTGATCAGTCTAAAGAAACTGAACAATAGAAGACATTAGGCCAACCCTGTAAAAGAGGAAATCTGGTCAGGATATTGAACAAGTAACAACATTATGAAAATATCTTTATTCAAGCGCACACAGTAGAAAAGCTGAAAGGCATCTATTAAGTAATCCATTTAAACATCTTTATCTTTTTACAAGTCGCTTCATTAATTTAAAAAAAAAAAAAAACAATTACATAGGAAAGAGGATGAGAAATACTCTTCTCATCGTCAAAAAACAGAGAGCTACAACAAACAAAAACAATAATACGCTAACATCTTGCTTGATAAATTTTTAATTAATTGCTGATGGAAAGGGGAAAAAAAAAAAAAAAAAAAAAAAAAAAAAAAAAAAAAAAAAAAACTCCGAAGAAAGGAATATTGAAATATTTTGGTCAGGGCATCACTACAGGTCAAAGATTACCTTTTCTATAAAAATCACATAATCCTAATTTCCGGCCATAAAGCAAGATTAGGCGAACATGAATCAAGACAATTAGATAAGATTACAAATGAAACGATAATTGAGAATCAAAATTACTTGGTACAGGATAAAAGAATTTGTTGAACCAGTATTAAGTAAATCAATCAAAACTAAGGAACACTGTCATTATGTTTCCAATACCTAAATACAAATCACTTCCATCTCTGCATGCTTTCTAAAGAGAGAAGAGACCGACCAAAAGGGTGAAAATTAACTAGAGATCATTAATCATCTGAGTAGATGCAAGATGCAAAAAATGCTGAAAGATGGTTATTAGATAAGATGCATTTTCAAGCTTTTTTTTTTTCCCCTTCTCAATGTGTAATTTGATAATTCTTTTTAAGAACTGCCAAATCTATGTTTCTATTAAAAAACACTCCATTATGTCACGACTATATTTGTTACATGGAACTTTCAAGTACTGTTTCTGTACCTATGTAAATATGAAATCCACAGCAATGAGGTGTCGCCACTCACCATTGGCCTGTTCTCGTACCCAAGCATATGAAGGATGCTGGTCCTAAAAAGGCACTTTCGATGATTTAAGAGAACTAATAACTACAATCAGAAATTCAACTTTCACAGATACGAGTACGTTAATGGCAAATCTAACCTATATGTATCTAACAATGCTTTGAAAACCCTATCAAAAACACAGTGCTTTGGAAACTTTAAAATTTATGTAAAAGAGTACGATAATGCATCACCTAACCACTATAATCATAATATTTTTTTTTTTTTTAAAAAGAGAAGGAAAAAAATTGCTCAAAATTCACAGCAGAAAATACAAGGTACGAACAATTTTCAACGCAAAAATCCCACTGAGAAGTGAGAATGCAAATCCAAGATTTCCAATCAAGATTGACATTAATACTACGGACAGGATCTATGGGCATTCACTGAAGCTTAGTGAGCATTCGTGTTTCTGCCAGTACAGAGAAGATCTTGTGAAGCAAGAGAGCCAATTCTACCAGATTAATGCTACGGTTGATCCCTAAGCCATCAGGTAACTTATTGATGTAATCCCTATACAAAGCTAACACCAATAGTCCCTAAAACTTATCAGTTCCCAGTTATTACTCTTTATTAACAAATTTTATTGAAATCATAGTGTTTTTCTACAGTTCTTCACCCACTTTTTGGACCAGTCCTACACATATAACACGTATAAGTTGAGGCATATCATCGCAATTACTCCATATGGAATAACTCGTCCAAGATTAATGAATTCCTCGTTCCAACGTTAAAACCTTGTACACTTCAACCTTAACATGTTAGGTGTGTAGGACTGACCTAATGAAAAACCATAGAAAAATCCTAAAATAACATTGTTTGGGAAACCTTAGAAAAAATTGCATCAACCAAGCAAAAACAAAAGGGAAGAAAGTTTATCGGATTACTACTAGGGCTTCTATATCCAGATTAGTACACAAGCACTGTAAGATCACGATCAAGAAAATCAATACTGCAATCGAAGTAATCCTTTAAAATAAACAACCGACTTATGAGAGTAGATTAACCCGCATCCTTCCACCAAAAATAATCAATAATAGATAATAACAAATAAAGAGATAGACAAAAAGCGACGATTTGAACTTTTGTGGTTTGAAATAGAAATTTGAAACATGTGTTTTGAACTTTTGGTTCGAAACATTGAAGACAAGGGGGGTAATCTCAAAATTCTTAAATTTTATTTGTTCAACACATCAAAAAATTGGTCGAGCCTTAAAAAAGTTTTGCCACACTTAAACCTGTTTACAAACAGCCTCAAAAGAAAATGGGAAACACTAATAAAAAAAAGATGATGATGATTTTTATTTTTATTTTTTTTAAAGAGCCTTGAATTCAAGAACTGCTTTCTGTATCAAGAAAGCCACACTCGAAAAGGAAAAGTTGCTGAAAACAAGTTGTTTTATTCCAACAAAATGTTTCTAGAAATTTCCAGAAAGCATTGTCCAGCCCTTGTAGCGATTAAGAATAGTCAACGTAAGCAAATAACTCTTTAGTAAAATATCAAACACCCAAAATTACAGCTTTGTTAATAAGATACTAAAAACTATACGAAACATAGAAAAACATCACCCAAAAAAAAAAAAAACAAAAACAAAACAAAGAGATGGTATAACACATACCTAGGGTTTTGGTTACTGCTCGTTCTGTACATGTTCCTCATGTTTATAAACATTGACCCTTGATAGATGGATAGTTTTTACAGGAGATAAGCCAATTCCTTATTTAATATACACCCTGAATCAGCCACCCCTAACAACAGCATATATATATTAAAAAGGAATAAAGGAAAAAAAAAAAGGAAAAACGAATTTCAAAACCTTACAATTTTACAAAATCCAGTAGAATTATTCAGATTTATATTTTCAGAACTTTTTCCTAGTAATTTCTATATATGAAAAAGAAAACGTTTTTTCCAAAAATTTACAGAAGTGAAACGAAAAATTGAAGAATATCGTTCATCAGAGGATGAACATCAAATCAAATACTCTAATTATCATTTCCTCGTTTCGGAAACAAAAAATCGATCTTCAGATTTGCAAAAAAGGTGAAAATACTCACAAATTCAACATCTTGTCATTTTCTAGTAAAATCAACCAACTACAACCACAAATTTCAATTCCACATGCGGAATTAAGCAGATCTCAACAGATTTTTCTCAAAAAACGAAATCAAACCAAAAGTCAAACCGTAAACTCATCCCAAACAAAAACGAAATGAACAAGACCCCTTCTCAAAATCGAAAAATCCGCTTCGATCTAATCGAATTCCATTTCTTAACCAACAAAATAAACCCTAGACAAACAGAAAGAGAGACCAGATTCGGACAAAAAAGAGCGAAAATCAAAGGGAAAAATTGGAGAGAGTTTACCAGTTAATTGATGGAAAAATAATTTGGGGGATATGTGATGATTTCCATGAGAAAGGGGGCTTCGTGGTTTGGGGCCGATTATCAAAACCCTAACTCGCGCGAAATCCGAGGCGAAACAGCGGAAGATCAACGCCGTTAATAAGCGGAAATGACGACGTAAGTCGGCGGTCGATGACTCTGCACGCAAATGGGTAAGTTTTATTTTATTATTTCTCCACTTTTCTTTTTCCTATTTTAATTTAATTATTTTTCTTGGGCGAAAAGCAAAGCCACCCACCACGGATGATTACGAGGGGTAAAGATATCTCAACCCATAGGTGATTCTGTCAACGTCACTGCTTGGTTTTGATTGGTTGGATTTGGAGGTTCAGACTTGTGCTCACGTGGAGTCTTGAAGCTGATTGGCCGGAAACCGTCTGCGATTCAGAGGAGGTCGGTTTAGGGTGCATTTATTTTAGTCTCGTTCATTTCATTAATTTAAATTTTTAATTTTAAGTTTTTATAATAAAAAATTCTTAAAAAATATCACATTTAATTTTTTTCAACTTAAATTGAAAATTTAAATTTACATGTGAACGATACCATGTTTATTCGTTTTGGGATAAAGTCCCATGGAGTGGGCCCCAGGCGTAATGTCTGGTCACTAACTACGAAAAAACTGGGCCCACTGATATGAAGCTTCGTCTGCGGGCTTTCAAGTGCATGGTTGATGTTTGAACTTTTCTTTTTTTCTTTTTCTTCTCGAATGAGATGGGAACTGGAAATTGTCGATACATCAAAGGACAAGAATAAAGCGAGCCAAACAAGAAAATAACGAGGAATATTCTACAAATTTAAATTTTTAATTTAAATTAAGATGTGATATATTTTAAAATTTTTAACTATAGTAAAAAAATTAAATATGAGATTTTATAAAAATTTTTAACTGTAAAAATTTAAAATTTAAATTAGTAAAATAAACGAAACTTTAAGTAATATGTTATAATTTTTAAGGTTTGATTAACTTTTGTTATGGATATTAAAATTATTATAAAATATATTACAAACATTATTTAAGTTTTGTATTTTAACTAAAACTAATTTGATTCAATATTTTAGATTTTATAAGATATTTTGTAATTTTTCATATATATATTTGTAATTTTTATAAATTTTATTATTTTTAAGTATTTTTAACTGTGACATTTTTTACAATAGTTTATGTCCTCTAACATATTTCAATCCAAGTCTAAAATTTATAGTATTCCTGTAATGTGCCCAACAATGGGTTCATTTTTAAAGGGTTCGTGAGAAGTACTTTGGTGATATACCGACGTATTAGACTTGCTCATTTAATATCAAGGGAACTATTCTTATTACTCATGATGAGATAATTATTATATTTATTTCTGTAAGAGAAAAATATTATAATAAAAAAGTTAAATTTTAATTTTTATAAGAGAATACACTGTGGTAATAAAAATTGAGTTGTGACTTGAGTTGAAAAGAACAAGGCCTATATCTCTTATTGACCTGTTGAGTATGACTTGAATTGAGGTAATTTTAGATTTTTTTATATTATTAATTGAGTCATGTGCTACGCACATATGGAATAACTTTGTCAATTTAATCATATATTAAAATAGGTGACCTTTAAAAGCTAAGTCCATTAATTAAAACAAATGGGGAAAATAGTTTAAAAAGTCACGTAAGTAAAAATTAAAGTTATTCGGGTGTTTTTTCCTTAAAAAATTACGTAGTTACGTATTTAAAAGGAATTATTTTAATTAAAAGAAATATAGAAGAAAAAGATTAGAAATAAGAAAAAATTTAAAAAAAAGAAATACAAACAAAATAATAAAAATGATAAGTTAACATAAAATAAAAGAATAAAAGGAGATATTGACATGTGGCCAAAGGAGAAACAACTCTTTTTTGGTTCTTTTATGTATGTTTAGATTATATTAGATTTAGATTAGGTGTCAAACCATGGGTCGGATCCTTTTCTTTTACTAGAGTCCGTTTAGAATATATACACAAACTATGATTTTTAATTCTAACGTTTGAAATTTAAATTTTTGTGAGAAAAAAACACTGTGCACAATTAATGATTTGAGTTTAAATACATGAAACAAATGGACCATAATATACTCAAACTCAAATCATTGGTTCTGCTACAGTGTTTTCCTTCACAAAAATTTTAAATTTCAAACGTCAGAATCAATAATCATAGTTTAAGTATACCTTCCAAACATATCCTTATAGTCTTAGTAGATTGCGAAAGTGTCGTATGATTGCGAGTTTGGGCACACCAATGATCTTTTAAAAAATAAAAATCTAGACAACAAAAAATAGGATTAATTACAAAAATTTCTCCTAAATTGTACTCATTGTAACACTTTAACTCCTGATCTTTAAAACGTATCATTCATTTTCCCTGAATAATAAAATGTTAACAAATAAAAAAGCCTACTCCGTTAGATTTTTAACTATAATTGATATTTAATTTGCTATTTTAAAAATATTTTGATAATTTTATGGTTTAAATTTAATTTAAATATTAAAAATTTTCATAAATTTTTTTATTCTACCAAAAAATTATAAAAATATTAACTTACATTCAATCAATAATGTATGTATCATAATTAAAAGTTTAAATTTAAATTAGTTTTAAAATTTAAATTAAATTTTAAACCATATAGTTACTAAAATACCTAAAAATAATAAATTAAGAGAACAGATATTACGTTTCAACGATTAAAAGGTAAAGTATTTTAATGAGTATAGTTTAAAGGAGTTTTTGTAATTAATCCTAAAAAAATATGTGCATAGAAAAGAATGTTTAGAGATTTCTATATTTCTCATATTCTATCATCAATTTCTCCATGTCGGAATTACACACAACTAAAGAAAGTAAATTATGGAGGGCATATTCTCTAGCTTTCCGGGGGAAAAAAAGAAGATCCTAAGGTCCAAGAATAAAAATAATGCGAATTTATTCTCTGACTGGTGTATATATCAAGACTCAAGTTGTCAATGACTTTTCATTTGTGTATTCTTTTTCTAAACTATCCAATTTCTTCATGACTTCATGTTGTGATTAACTTACGAAAATAGGGGAGAGGGTCATCTCAACATATTTTACATAAGGATATGGGCTTGCAACGGGATAAACTACAAACCATATATTTTCTTGCTCCTAGCAATCTTTACAAAGAAAATTATGGGTGCGTTTGAAATTCATTCCGAAACATTTTTGTTTTTTATATGGAAATAAAAATGATAATGTTTTCATTTTTATTTTAGAATCATTTCTGAAAATACGTTTGGTAGTTTTGAAATCATCTATGAAAATGTGTTTGGTGGTTTAATTTTTAAAAATATGTAATAATATTTAAAATAATAATATATTGAATAAATAATAATATTAAATATATTAAATATTTACTTTAATATTTCCCAAACACTCTCCCTCTCTCTCCCCGCCCCTTCTTCTCTCTCCGTAAATCAAATGCAGCCACAATTAGTGACGGCAGCGGCTTTGGACGACTGACGATAGCCACCGAGCGAGGGAATCTCCGGCGACGTCTCTCTCTATCTTTATCTCTTCGTAATTCTGGTTGAGATCATGATTTCTGTTCGTGATTCCGGCCAAGCGATGACGTTGTTGGGATGTCGGTCGCAATCTGGAGCCGTTGTTACGATCTCCTCGCGATCCACGTCGGGATCTCCTCGCGATCTTCTCGTCAGCCGTCGTTCAAGATCGCCATTCTAACAACCGTTCGCGAGCAAGAAGAACGTCGTCGCTGGAGAAGAAGACCGTTCACAAACCAGATCACGATGTCGGAGTGGGGGAGGGGGGTGTAGTCGGGGGTGGTGGGCAGTGGAGAAGAGAGAGAAGAAAATGAAAAAGAAAATATGAAATCTGTTTTCAGAAAACGAAAACGAAAAAATGAAAACAGGTTTTTTACGTTTTCAGAATTTCACAAAACGACAAAAACGGTTTTGTTTTTGTTTTTTAAAAAAACTTTTGCCAAACGCGTTTTCAATTTTTTGCTTCGAAAAACGTGAAAAATGGGATTGAAAACGGTAACAAACAAGGCCTTCTACTTATTTAAGTACCCAACTTATTAAAAATACTTTTAAAAAAAAACTATCTCTAGATTAGTTATAGTCTAAAAGGTAGAAAAATATAGATTAATATTAAGAGATATAAATAAAAGAAGACTCCATTTCAAGGGGTATTTTAAAAATTTTCCAATATTTACACTAGAAATGTATATAGTGGGTGTTTGGAATGCGTTTTGTTTCTATTTTCACATTTATCGAGAAAAAAATGAAAATGAAAAAAAAGCATTTGGAGCAGCCGACCACAAAAAATAAAAACAAAAACAGTCTTGGTTTTTTGCGTAAAATAGGGTAGAAAATGAAAACTTTTAGTCATTTTCATTTTCATCTTTCCCATTTTCTCTTATGTCAACCACAGTTAAAGTGTTAAAAAATTAGAATCTGAAAAGTACAAAAAAGTTGTTAAAATACTATTAGATGTTAAATTATATGACTGATAAGTAGTAAGATGTTAAATTATTTAATATATTTTTTAAAATACTATTAGATGTTTTCAAAAATGTATAACCAAAAGGAGTTTCAATTTTTTCTTAGACTGAAAATAATATCTCAATAAAACTACCAAATGCATTTTTAGAAATGATTTTTGTTTGAGATTGAAAACGTTTTCATTTCCATTTTCATATAAAAAATAAAATCATTTTAAAACCAATTCTAAACATACCCTATAAAGACTTACATTTTTTTTTCTTTTGTCTTGTCATTGAAGCCCATGAACTATTAGTGTGTTAATGTTTTGTTCTTAATTCTTTTGACATATTACTATATACATTTTATTTTGACACCCTAATCCTTAACCAAATGAACTTTTATAATTTCACAAAATAATCATATCATGTATAATTTGAAATTTTACATGATTTAATTAATTTAAGTGCAAAATGTTCTCTTTGTTATTGTTAAAATCTTTAAAAACTGTAATATTTTGCGATTAACAATTTTTGTAAAATTTACAATTATTATAAAATATTATGTTAAAAATAACTAATTATGTAAAATTATGAATATTTTAGACTTAAAATAACATATTATGTAAAATATTGTGCGACAGATTGATAAATAAATTTCAATCAACTTATTTATTTCTAATTTTTAGTTATATGAGATGGTTTAATAAATTTCATAAATTCTTTATCAATTT